TGAGTGCATTCGGTTAAAATCTAAGCCAGTCTTACAACCCTTCCAGTGAAATGTTTAAGCTAATTCATGAAAAGAAACTTGTTGATGTTTTCCCAAATTGCTTTATTTATTTTTAACTTTGCCAAGCAGTAGCTGTGGAGCGTAGCGCTCTTTCTTCAGGATGTTAATATTCTATATAGAAAACAAATATAGGACCAAAATGTTGAAAAATGGATTAAATAATTTATCAGTTCTTTCCATAAGTTGTAACTTAACAACGCACTTACAATGTGATGAGCAAATAAAAGAAATTGCTGCGCAAAAATCTAGAAGTTTGTATAATTTATTTGACAGTACCTGAATGACCGATATATATATATATATATATATATATATATATATATATATATCGGTAGGCCTCTCCCAAGTAATACCACAAAGCACGGTCCTGAGCCACCTGCATCCATCGACTTCCTGCATGTCTTACCAGGTGGTCACTCCATCTAGTGGGGGTCGCCCTACACTACGCCTACCGGTACGAGGCTGCCACTCGAGAACCTTTCTTCCCCATCGGTTATCGGTTCTTCGAGCTATATGGCCGGCCCATTGCCACTTCAGCTTACTAATCCGTTGGGCTATGTCGGTCACTCTGGTTTCACTGCGGATATTCTCATTTCTGAGTCTATCACGCAGTGAAACTCCGAGCATAGCCCTCTCCATAGCTCGCTGAGCGACCTTGAGCGTCCTCATACGGCCAGCGGTGAAGGACCACGTCTCAGATCCGTAAGTCATCACTGGCAACACGCACTGGTTAGACACTTTAGTATTCAGAGATTGAGGTATACCTGACGAGAAGATGTGTTGTAATTTCCCGAACGCTGCCCAGCCGAGTTGAATCCGTCGATTGACCTCTCGGTCGAAGTTGGACTTACCTAGTCGGACTATTTGTCCCAGGTAAACGTACTCGTCAACAACTTCGAGCATAGTGCTCCCAACAACTACCGGCATAGGTGTGACATGGACATTAAACATGATCTTTGTTTTGTCCATGTTCATCTTAAGACCTATCCGTTGGGAGACACCATTGAGGTCATTGAGCATAGTACTAAGGTCCTCCAGCGATTCTGCCATAAGGACTATATCGTCGGCAAATAGAAGGTGAGTGATGTACTCGCCATTGATGTTAATACCATATCCTTTCCAGTCCAGTAGCTTGAAAACGTCTTCCAACGCAGCGGTGAAGAGTTTCGGGGATATAACATCACCCTGTCTTACGAGGTGTAAATCTGCAATTGGATAGGTTTCGTACTCTGGTTCTGTACTCGGATAGCCATCGTATAGCCCTCTGTACAAACACTTCAGCACTTCAATATACCGACAGTCAACTAGGCACCGCTGAAGAGACTGTAGCACCGCCCAAATTTCGACGGAATCAAAGGCTTTCTCATAGTCCACATACGCCAGGCAAAGTGGCAGATTGTACTCTTCGGACTTCTGTACAATTTGCCGGAAGTCGTCGAGTCTGCGTGCGAGCGATTCGTAATGACTCTCGAAAACAGCACGTAGACGCGGCTCAGAAGGGAAATCGGTCTGTAGTTCTTCAAGAGAGCGTTGTCGCCTTTCTTAAAGAACAAGACCACCGCGCTTCTGCTCCACGCCTCCGGAGTAGTGCCACCATGGAGGACGGAATTGAAGAGCTTCTGAAGGACTTCAAGTACCGGTGTTCCACCCGCTTTCAGAAGCTCCGCTGTAATTCCATCCTCGCCCGGGGCCTAGCCGTTTTTAAGGTGGTGGAGAGCCATTCTAATCTCGCTCAGACTGACGTCCGGGATATCATCGGAATAGTGTCGGATAAGACTTGCTCTTGGATCGTTACTCACACTTGCGTGTGGCTCCAACGATGATGTGTACAGCTGTCCATAGAACCTCTCAAGCTCACTCAGAACCTCAGGTGTCCCGGAAACGATGTTGCCACACTCAGTCTTCAGCCTTGACAGTTGGCTCTTTCTGGCAGACAGATCTCTGGCAAAGACTTTGGAGCCCTGGTTCCGCTCGATCGCTTCTTTAATACGAGCAGTATTAACGTTGCGTAAGTCTCGTCCGCATGCATTTGGAGATCTGTCTGTTCAGTTGCCTGTATGCTGTCAAATCTGTTGACGATTGCAGCCTCATCTCTCGTCTAACAGCCATGAGATTAAGAGTGTGATCGGAGAGTTTTTGTGTTCTTCTGCGGCGGGTTTTGCAGAACTTATCTCCGACCGCATGGACAGTTTCCACGAGCTTGTCATTCATATCGTCCACTGCATTGCAATCCTCTAGGCACTGAAAGCGGTTTTGTAACTCGAGCTGAAAGGTTTCGGGATTCTGGATTAGAGCACGAGGGGGACGGAGCGTTGACTTCATTAGACGAGACCTCTCCAACTTAACATTTAGGTTCAGTGTGCCTCTAACCATTCGGTGATCGCTGCCAGTTTTCACCCTTGCGATCACTGAGACATCACTGAACAGTTGGCGTCTGGTCGTCATAATGAAGTCAATCTCATTTTTGTCAAACCGTCGGGGCACGACCAGGTCCACTTCCTGTGGGGTCGCTTCTGGAAGAAAGAGTTCATCATAAAGAGTCCCTCTTTCTTCATAAAGCTGGCCCCTTCGGTTCCGTTGCCCTACTCCAAATTTCCCCCACCTTCAGCTCACCGCTTTCTCTTGTGCCTAGTTTTGCGTTGAAGTTTCCCATCAACACCGTGTAGTGGGTTTTGGAGGAATACATGGCTCTGGAAATATCCTCATACATTTCCTCCACCTCCTCATCGGGATGTGCCGGGTTGGTGCATAAATCTGTATGACCTTCGGCAACACTCCCTCTTTCTTTCTTCCTCAATCTCCACCGGAGATTCAGATTCTTAACACCCCCTGCCCCGCCGTTACCATGGTCGTCACCGTATCCAGGAATAAAGGGGCCGCCGGGGACTGGGACCGTTTGTTTGCGTATGTCAACGACGCAAACAAACGGTCCTGTCTTTCCCGGTGGCCCCTTCCCTGGATATTGATGTCATACGGCGGGCCAGGGGGTGTTAAGAATCTGAATTCCGTAGATTGGAGGAAGAAAGAAAGAGAGTGTTCGCTGAAGGTCTTACAGTTTCATCCCTGAGAGGTGGAGGAAATGTAAGGATATTTCCAGAGCCTGCTTCTTCTCTCCAAAAACCCATTACACGGTGTGATGGGAAACTTCAACGCAAAAAAAACAAGGCACAAGAGAAAGCGGTGAGCTGAAGGTGGGAAATTTGGAGGCAACGAACCGAGGCCAGCTTTATGAAGAAAGAGGGACTTATGATGAACTCTCTCTTTAACGAAGCGACCCCACACCTGTGTGCCCCGACGGTAAAAAAATGAGGAGACTTCATTATGACGACCAGACGCCAACTGTTCGTGATGTCTCAGTGATCGCAAGGGAAAACTGGCAGCGATCACCGAAGGTTAACACTGAACCTAAATGTTAAGTTGGAGAGGTCTCTTCCTAATGAGTCAACGCTCCGTCCCCCTCGTGTCTAATCCAGAATCCCGAAACTAGCTCGAGAAAACTTTGTCCTATGCTGAGTGCGAGTGACTAAGTTCGTGCAAACTGTCCATGTGTCGAGATAAGTGCAAAACTCCGCCGCAGAAGAACCAAAAACGATCACATCTTATCATGGCTGTTAGACGAGAGATGAGGCTGCAATCGTCAACAGATTTGACAGCATACAGGTAACTGAAACAGACAGATCTCCAACATGCGGACTGCACAGATTTACGAACTAATACTGCTCGTATTAAAGAAGCGATCGAGCGGAACCAGGGCTCCAAAGTCTTTGCCAGAGATCTGTCTGCCAGAAAGACGCCTATCGAAAGGCTGAAGACTGAGTGTGGCAACACTGACATCTGAGTGATGAGAGCATGGACAGCTGTATACATCATCGTTGGAGCCACCACGCAAGTGAACGATCCAAGAGCAAGCTTATCCGACACTATTCCGATGATATCCCGGACGTCAGTCTGAGCGTGAGAATGGCTCTCCACCACCCACGGCTGCCCCGGGGAGGATGGAAGTACAGCGGAGCTTCTGGCCCGGACTTGATCGCGAGTCCTTCGAGCTCTTCAATTCCGTCCTGCGTGGCACAAAAGCGCGGTCGTTTGTTCTTTAAGAAAGGCGACAACGAAGAACTACAGACCGATTTCCTTCTGAGTCTTGCGTTCTGTCCGAATCATTACGTTCCTCAGCAGAATCACTTCATCAGAAGTTCGAAGAGTACAATCTGCCACTTTGCCTGGTGTATGGGGACTATGAGAAAGCCTTTCATTCCGTCGAAAATTTGGGAGGTGCTACAGTCTCTCGGCGGACTAGTGATGTCGGTACATTGAAGTGCTGAGGTGGCTTTGACAGTAACGTGGCTATCCGAGTACAGAACCAGAGTACGAAACTTATCCAATTGCACTTAGAAGAGGGTGATGTTATCCCCGAAACTCTTCACCTTGCGTTGGAAGATCACTGACTGAAAGGATATGGTATTAACTCCATGTGGCCACATCACTCACCTTCTATTTGCCGACGATATAGTCCTTATGGCAGAATCGCTGGAGGACTTTAGTTACTATGCTCAATGACCTCAGGATTTTCTCTTAATTTCCTCTGCGGCAGCAAAAATCCTAGCCGTTAATTGTTCGCGGCTTTCAATGCGCGCGGCATACACCTTCTGTTTCATGAATCCCCATAAATAAAAATCTAAGGGTGTCAGGTCGGGCGATCTCGGCGGCCAAGCAACGGGAGCCTCCTCGACCGATCCATCGCGGATAATTTTCATTCAGATAATTTCGCACTAGTCGTGCGAAATGTGCTGGGGCTCCGTCTAGTTGCAGATGCATTCTTCTTCTCGTTGCCAGCGGCACTTCATCCAAAAGTGAGGGCAACGTATTTTGGAGAAAATCTAAATATGCGTGTTGATCTAGCCTGTGAGGCAATACGTAAGGGCCAATGAGCATATTGTCAATTATTCCAGCCCATACATTAACAGAAAATTCTTTCTGAAAAGATGTTTTTCTTCTGACGTGTGGGTTTTCAGCGGCCCAGACATGAAGATTTCGGTGGTTTGTAATACCCGCCCTTGTGAATGTACTCTGTCCGTCCACAAAATCTTCTTTAGAAACTCAGGATTGGTTCTTTGTTGCGATAAAATCCAGCTACAAAACACAGATCTCGCACGGTAATCCACATCTTCCAAATGTTGAGCACGCCGGAAGTGATAAGGATGGAGGCCTTCTTTCTTAAGAATTCTCCAGATTGTTATTCTTGGTACATTCAGTCTTATTGACAAGAGACGAATGCTTGTCATAGGGTCAGCGCGCACTAATCTTAACACTTCCTCTTCCATGTCCACGTGAAGTGCCACGCCAGGCTCATTTTGTCGTGGAAGTCCTTGCTCACAAAAACGACGATGCACAGCAATGAAGGACCGGTACCCAAGTACTGGCCTACCTGGATAACGACGTTTGTACTCTTCGACAGCAGAACGTGCATTCCCATCACAAAAACCGTATACAAAATGCATATCAGCTACGTGAGAAGGCGGTAAATCACGCAATCGTAGCATTACGATGCTTGAAACGCACAGGAATGGTCCTCGAAAAGATAAATAGCGCACAAATTAAAAAAACACGTAACGTCCCGGGATCAGTAATCGAGCGACTGAATGATGCACAAACAACCAACCGAGAAGAGTGCGCACGTGCGTTATCTAGCGGTCTCTAAGAACCGGTTTCTACCTGGATGACCTTTTTTTTGCTTGATATGGAGCAAATTTTTGACACGCTGTTATTAAAAAATTTTAAGAGATAGATATTGATAGTGTATTGTAAATGTGTAGTAGTTATGCTCTAGATTATTAATAATGAGTAAAAAGCCCATGTTAAGGTGGCATTTTATGTACTTACACGTGTTTTTGTAAATAAATATCACTTTTTTTGCTTAGAAAAAATGTCTTTGTCTACGTTTATTTTTATGATTCGCCTTATTTTAACTAAAAAATGTTACGTAATCCAACAAAACAACTTATTAACCTGATGAAATAAGAAAACAGAATCGAAATCGTGCCCGTAGCATTGGAGCTAGAGCAAAAAGTGTGGAACAAGGTGACCAACATCATTCAAAAAATTAAAAATTCAATAACTTAAAAAGTATTTAAGATAGACCCCCCCTTTTTAGGTTTTTTTACCGATAATTTTTCATGTACATGCAGAATATCCCGGGCGGTCACTTGCCGATGGGCGACATTGTATATATATATATATATATATATATATATATATATATATATATATATATATAACCCGTTCGCCAAGTGTCTGTGCCTAACTTCGGGAATTAAAAATAAGTAAAATCAGTTAAATAAACGCGATAAAATACGTAAATTTAGTTTTATTCAATGTATCACTAGTTTTCTTGCTTGCGTTTCCTTGTAGATGGTGCTTGCTCCTATTACAAACACATTAACGCTGGCGTTCCACAAGGCTGCGTGCTATCACCAACGCTGTCTCTTCTGCATATCAATGATATGTTGCAAACCAAGTAACATTCATTGCTATGCGGACGACAGCACTGATGATGCTTTATGCACCGGCCGTGCCAATATTACCGGGAGTAACGTGTGTCTGAAGTCGAGACTTTATTGAACAAAGCATTGCACCAGGGGCGGCTGAATCTAGTCCAGTCCATTCCCCAAAAGACGCAAGTTTGCACGTTTGCTGCTAAAAAGAATCCCTTCGTCATATCTCCTCAGTTTCGATGCACTCCCATTGTTGCCGTAGCCAGTATCGGAATTCTCGGCGCCAACATATCGAGCGACGTGCAGCTTGGTGGTCACTTGTAAGAAAAGACCAAATTGGCCTCCAAAAACCTTGGCGTGCTCAACAGAGCGGGACAATGTTTCATGCTGGCACACTGCCTGCAACTGTACAAGGCGCAGGGTCGGCCGCACATGGATTACTGTTCCCATCTCTGAGTTGGGGCTCCCCAGTGCCAGCTCTTTCCATTTGATTGCATCCACCGCAGAGCCGTTCGAATCATCGGCGACCAAAGTATTAAGATCTAGATTGTAACCATGATACATATATATGCGATTAGATATATTGCATCTTATTGCGTATTTTATCGCATTTAACCATAGGGTGTGCTCTGAGGAATTGGACTAATACCAGTCGCATAATTTCGTCATCAGTCGACAAAACTCGCGATACCAACCACGCCATCTGGATGACTGGGGATCCACCATTTTAAGAGAAGATTTAAAAGAAGTTTTCTTCCTCGCACAACTTCCTTGTGAAATCGACTACCATCAGAGATTTTTCCGGACCGATATGACTCAGGGACCTGTAGGCAAAGAGCCTACTCCTTTTTAAAAGTTCGGCAACACATCTACAATTCCTCTAATGTTGTTCATGGGCGGCGGTAGTTATATATTTATTTGTACTTTATTTGCACACCGAGTAGAAAAAGGCGGACTTAATGCAACAAGGCATTCTCTGCCAGTCCAAAGCCAGGCTAACTGCCTAATTACCTACCATCAGGTGGGCCGTATGCTTGTATGCCCTCTCTCCTAAAAAAAATGTATTGATACTATGTTATTATAATTATTAATAAACCGCTGGTGTTCGAACCAAATGTTAAGAGATTGAAAATCACCGATACAACCAAAAAATCCGAGAAGCTATTCAATACGCAACTCTGCACGCGACTGATGTTGCCATCTTAACTAATATTGTTTCCGTCATTTAATCGTATTCGTCGTCATTTAATAGTATTCGTTGTCATTTAATCGTGTTTCAGTCGTATCGTAGATAGTTATATCAAATTATTCATACATGATCAAATTGATTACCAAAGCTCAGTTAAAAAACTGTAATGTATTTATTGCTTCGATCCACGTAATAAATATATTTCTTGAATGTAATTTTCGTAAGATTCATATATTTATATTATTCTACTATTAGGTATTTTGAAACATAGATGGTATAGCATTATAAAATTTATTATAAAGAACGAAATTAAAAGTCCATGCAAACTTTGTAAGTCTTTTATTAACCCAGCGCAATCTCAGAATATATACTGCGTTCTATCAATACTTTTTATTTAGAATGGCACTTTTTGTAATTGTAGCCATATAAAATCAATATCAGCTTTTATTTCCAACCAAAGTCTATTTATGGTAGTAAACTCTTTCTTCACGACGTAAAACATACGTAACGCCAATATTAAAATCGTCTAAATCATTTATTTTCCTATGGTTTCTAGTTTTTCCCTACTTCACAATTTCAGAAGACGAAGCTGCTGCTACATTACCCTCTTGAGTTATTTGGGTGACGAAGTGTTCAGAAACGCCTAAAACAAAATAAGAACAATGCTTTACATGCATTATAATGAACCGAAAAAATTTAGGAGTTTTATTGTTATGGCAGACCTAAAAATTACCTGTCAAATATGCATCCCGTATTCCTTTCATTCAGTATTACGAGCCGTACAGGATGGAGTGCGGGGTGAGGCAAGGGGGCTGACATCGCCACGGCTCTTCAACCTGTATATTGATCACACTGATTTGAGAGCTCAGCAGCATGCGTATCGGCTGCCATATCGGCAAGGTGTGTGTGAACAATATCAGCTACGCGTACGATATGGTCAGTTAGTGCGATGAGAGCTCTACTCGGTGTTTGTGAAAAATTCGCTCTCTCACATGGTATAGTATTTAAGGCTGGCAGTAAATGTCCTAGTGTGGTACCACATATAAAGCTCTATAATAAACCACTAGAAAGTAGTGGAAAAGCTAGGGCTCCAAACTAGGGCAAGCCCAAGATATGGCATAATTCATAATTATTTATTTGCATAGAATGTAGGTAGATATTTTTGATGATAGGTTTTGTTGTTTTTAGCAGTTTTATAAAAATACTTACACCAATCTAGATCTGTCTCCACTCTTTAGTTTCATATTCAGTGCTGTCAAGGACGTATTTAACAAAGCACACAGAAGGCATACTACCGTTAGATAGATTGTATGACATATGCAATTGCATACCTTCGGTGGCTTTGAAAAGAGCCGTTTGGGTTAGCTTGAGCGAAAGAAATAGATATTTACATACAATGCAATACATGAACAAAAGAAAAGCATGAACAAGGTACAAACGAAATATGTACAAAATTAAAAAAGGGGCGCCTGGCAGATGTGATACATCGAAGTTCTTTTGTTTAAGTTATATGCATAGAAGAACAGATTACGACAGGAATTAGATATGGTATAATGAGAAGATAAAGCTTTTCAAATTTTTTACCATAAAATAATGACTATTTATTATACAATTATTCATTTTCAATTTTAATAAACCGTACAAAATGATATTTTTAACTCTTAAGGTAATATAAATATTAAATTATTAAATTAGCCGATAGCATATTTGTGCCATCTAGCGTAATCTTAACGTACCACCGTGAGAATCGATCAATTTTCGTTCGATAAAATGACTTCACCTATAAAAGTAGATGGCGCTATTAAAATTTTACATACTGAACTGAAGGACTAAAGTAAATATTCTTTAAAACCTCAATACATGTATTCATTTAATTTATTACATTAAAATTTGGGCTTCACATTAAAAAAAAAGATTGTAACAATTATTTGCTATAAAATTAAACTTATACCTAGTTATCTCATATTTTATGCTGAAGTTAAAAATTATATTTTTAACTCATATGGTAATATAAGTAATAATAAAGTAACAATCGCACTAAGTAATCGAATTTAATATAATATGCATTACTTGTGAGATATATTGTGTTTTCATGCGACGGCCAAAGTCAATCTATTTATTTAAAACATAAAAGATTTTTAATATTGATATGGTCACAATAAGATGTTGTTATGTTAGCTAATTACGTAAATACTTAAGGCAGAAGGACCCTTAAGTAGGGACTGAATAAATTAATCGACTTGGTGTTACATGGATCTCACAACTTTTTACGATAGAAGAACTGAGTTGCGAGACTTGTTTTTCTACAAGTTATGTTTTTAATGGCATTCAAGTTGTCCGAAATAAACAATTTTTAATTTAATTTGAGTATTAAGCAAAAGGAGACGGCATCGCAAGGCATACCCCTCTGTAAAAGGCACGAGAGTCCGACTCATAGCCGTTATATAAAACTAGTTACTCCGCGTCATAGGCCACGCAGTTCCGTTTGCGCACCGCTCTCGAGCGGTCGTGTAAACAGTTCGCGCTCCCGCCCCCGTACGACAGTGCCCCATCTCGCTAGTGCGCCTCCGCTCTCCCGCTCACACCGGCCGAGCTGTCGCCATCGGTGAGTCACTTGTTTTTCGCACCGTTCTTGCCCTCT